CACACAGACGCACACACGCACAGACGCACAGACGCACAGACGCACACACGCACACACGCACACACGCACACACGCACACACGCACACACGCAGACAAACATAAACACCAACACAAATACAAACACGCGCATCAACAAGCACGCAAGCACACAGGCACTCACTCCCTTTTCTCAGACTTGCATCAACCCATTTTAGTTGAATCTGCGTCGCAGGTTTCTGGAAGCCTACGCCACCCCGAGTCCTCCCTACATAAATAAGGATTTAAGCTCGGCTGGCAGTAGGGACGGGCATGGAAATGTATGGAACTTAGATTTCGGAGGTGGGAACCCAGTCGATCTCTCCCCTCGAATGGGCTGTCACCAGCGGCAATTGGGTGGCTGCAGAAGCTTGTCAGACTTGGTTTAGGGTTTCAGATGGGGTGGCCTTCGGCGATGCCCGCTAAGCAAAGAAAGGCAAGAGGAATATCTTGACGTGCATGCGCCCAGGAACTTATCATCCAGGATCTCTTGACGATTCGAGCCGACAGGGAGAGATATTACTATGGTATCCTGTCTATTTCGTACTTGCCCTTCATTCAGAGGATCAGATGCAGGCGTCTTGAGTCGCGAAAGCCAAGTCCGATAGCCGTTGCGCGACAGCAAGAGCCAAGGCCTTGATGCATTGTTTGAGTGCCTTGGCCTCCTCTTTAGCAAAGGGGACAGGCGAGTGCGGCGAGTGTAGAATCTAGGAAGTCGCGCTGCAGCCCATCCAGTCGATTGCAGATTCGACTGTCGGCTTTCGTTCATATCGTCTTGCTGGTAGCAGCGGCGGACGTTCATGAATCCGAGGAGGCATCCTGACATTATCCAGTTGCTCTGCACGCAGGCGGCCGGCTTTGATTTGAGTCATGTTGTGGCAAAGCGCGTTGTCAGCAGAAGGCCTTGCTGCTCGAGGCCCAATGCCTACTCAAAACTCTTCTTGATGGAATGATGTGGCACTCTCACCTGACGTCTGATGGCATGCGGCGCACGAACTATTACATCAAGCACTTGATAACAGACAGAAGCCAGGATCAAGTCAATCATTGCAACCGTTTCGTCCGACTTCCGTCTACCTTGATGCAAAGACTGGCCTGCCGAGGAAACGGCGATTTCGCACCTTGCATGAAGGCTATTGTGCAGCTGCAGGAAAGCACCTCTTCAGAGCTTGTTGGTTCGGTATAGTTGGAATGTTTGACGCATGTGCGGCCGATGCAGGATCCCGGAATTGCGGTGCACAGAGTCCTGACGCGGGTGACCGGCATCGTGTGGCAAGGCAGCGAAGGGTTGAGAGTGTAGTATTTGCGTGTAGTAAACGAAGCAAGCCCGTTGCCTGGCCTTTGTTGGGTGGGAGTTGACCTGGTGCTCTAGATGGCCTGAAGGCTTGCAGGTGAAGTGTACACGGGTGACCATTTTCGAGATTGTGTTGCTGGAGTGAGTCAAGGTGGCGAACCAAAGCCAGGATCGTGCTAGCAAAACCTTACGACGAGCGGATGGAGAGCGTTTCGCTCAGTGCTCACGAGGCTTGATCCGCTCCAGATTCATCTTTGGCACCACATGGCTCCTTTTCAATTTCATGCTCTTTGTCCTGAGCCACGGATTGCTCAACCATGAAGCGGAGACTTGAAAGCAATTTGCAGGGTTTAGGCCAATTTTGGTGACGTAGGACCCCTTGTCAGAGGCCTGGGTCAAGGTGACACCTGCGTGTTCTGGCAGACTCCCGTGAGCTAGTCGTCTTTCTTTGGTGTGGTCTTCCATATCATGCGGGATGTGTAGAATACCACCAATTGAGAAGGAAGGTGCAATTCGGAACTCAAATGGGCGAAGCGGCTTTTGCTTTTGCCGTGTTGCTGGTCGGATGCATTTTCAGAAAAGGCGCATCCTTCATTCCGCAGCGCTGATTCCAAAGTTCCGAGCTGGCACACATGGCATTGGGGGACACAGGCTGAAGCGATCAGGATCCATGATATGCGATAGCAGGGATAGCATGTAGGGCACTGCAACGAGGCCAAGGGGAGTCAAGGGGAGTCTCTTGTAGAAGAGTCTGTCTTCCTCGCCATGTTTGTGAGACTGCGACCGCTGGCGGGTACTGTGCCGAAATGAGATGTCCAGCGCTGAGTGCTGGGAAAGTGATGCCGCTGCCTTTGTCAACTTGCTTCTGGACTTGCGCTCCCAGGGCTCTGGAGGGCAAGCATTGCTTCAGTCAGTGCGGACACTACTTGAGTTGCTTTTCTACAGTGGTTCAGCCCATAGATGTTCTTAGGCTTCTTGCGGCAACTGAAGGGTGCACTTACAGAATGACAAACCCAGCAGATGAAACAAAAGCTAAGGCAGCTAAGGTTACCTCCGGACCTCCTTCAGCAGGAGTCCGTCGAGACAGAGCCTCTGACCTTGGCCAGCCTGATTGCCCAGCTTCGGAAAGACTTCCAAGAAGCTTGCAAGCCTACGAATCCACCATGGTCTCGAAGCCTCCAGCAGCTTTTCGCCTGGCTGGAGAAGCACGTCGAGTTCCAAACTCATCAGGTGCAGTTTTCTGGCCTGTCTTGGGTGTTCTCCTCTGGGACCACTGCGGGACCAAGCCATGAACACCAACCAGCAGAAAGTGCGGTGTCGGTAGATGACTTTCTTGCATCTTTGCACCGGACCGATGAAGCGGGGCTTGCGGGAGTCACACTCGATCACGATCCGTGTCTCTCCAAGTTGCACTTGGATCAGAAACATATGTTCTTCGTCAGCATACCTCTCGCGCTCTATGTGCGAAACACACCGCACTTGTACGAGGTGACGTCTCGGATGCGGTACCTTCGAGTTTCATCCTGCAGCGAAATACCGGAGCATGCACGCAGCCTGGAGATGCGTGAGGCCTTGGATGCCGGCGATGGCAAACCGTACTCATGCCTAGTTTACCTTTTGATGGCGGCCTTGCAAGCTCTTTTTGCTGTTTGCCGCGAGCATGGAAAAGCCGTCCGTCCCGCCCACGCATGTTCAGTTGACTTGCGCTCCTTGCTGCCGCTCTCTGGATCCGCGCCGGAAGGGCTCCTCCCCGTGGATCTTACTGCCTCACTTCTGTTCCGTGGCCTCTGGGTGCCAGAGGTTATCGACGAAGAGGCGGCCAGCCTGCAGTGGTCTTTCAATTCTTTCTCCAGGTATATCTCCGGCTCGCTTCACGTCTTGAACTTCTACGCTTCCTCCCACTCTAAAGTATCCCAGGTGGCAAACACGCATCGGCACGTTCTGTTGCTCGTCATGCGGCGATTTGCTTTGATCAGGGTGCACACAGCTCAGAAGCAGGACTGGGCTTTTCCTGTACAGTTCTTCAATGGCGTCAACGGGCGCCTTGAGCACGAGTTCGTCCTTCCCCCCTTCGTAGAATATACCTTCGAAGAGGACCTGGAGGTTTGCAGCTGCATGCCTGCAAGCCAACAAGAGGATCTCTTCGGCGAACTGAGCCGCCGCTGGAAGCTGCAGAGGCCTCTGACGGAGGAGGTCCCCGAAATTCGACAGCTCCTGGGCTGCTCCGCGGTCACGCTGCGGAATCCCCATGTTGAGGCGAGTTGGTGCCGGAAGGGCTCCAGGTCCAATGGAGTTTTCACCGGAGCTGTGCCTTTGCCAGGCGCAAATGGAGTTTTGGAGCAAGAACAGCTCGCTTGGACAGGCCGGCGGTTTTGCTTTTCGAGTTCGGAGCAGTTCTCGATGCTTGTGAACTTTCGGTTTCTTCGGAGCCCTGCACAGCCCCAGAATTCTACCAGCACTTCAGAGCACCACCTCTGTGTTTCTGCTGATTCACTTGGGTCACTCTGCCACCGTCTGAGCTTTGAAGTCTCCACGAACACTCGTCAATTTTCAGAAGCTGTGTTAATATTTGCACTGCGCGGTGAAGTCACGTGCATCAGCTGCGAACACAAATAAGTGCTGGCAGGTGTCAAAATTAAGCCTGCAAGATTTGGTGTCAGTCGGCACAAATGTTGGAACATCAGGATTGAAAGCCCCGACTTTTTCTTCAGCCTCAAGGTTGGAACGATTAATCTGGCTAGGTCATGGGTGATTTTCAGGACTCCATTTCTTGTAGACGTGTGAAGAGAGGTCGTGGCAGTATAACAGTATTGCCATTGCAACCTGTCGTTTTGGGTAAGTTTGGCGGGGGGAGGGTCTTTCTCTGAAGGATATGGTAGGACGAGCTTCTTGCCCCAACTGCGTGTTGCACGCCCTCATCTGGCGCATCCGGGTGTCAGAGCGTGACAAAAACGTGGTTGTTGTCGTTGGACACGACTCATGTTAACTTTCAGTCTGGGAGTGGTCGTCGCAGGATGCGGTGGTGGCCATGCTCAGCGCCCCGCTTTTCGCTTCATTGAGCACTTCCTCTGCCTCGACATTTCCACCGGCACGCAAAGTTACTGTCAGGGGCCCGATGAACTTGCCTGTCTAGAGCCTAGAGACACCGGACAGGCATACAATGCAACCTTTTTCACTTGCACAAGGTGCGTTGGGTGCGGAGTGTACGGCTGGCTCCTGGCATGGAGCGTCTATTCCAGGACTTGTTTGGGTTGGAATGTTGCATGCGTAGGTCAGAGCAGTTGCTTTGTTCGTCTGGTCATGACATGGAGAACCTGAGTTTTCGTTCGCTCCCTTCACGGGCATGCTGGTACTCCGACCTCGCAGGATCCGGAGCTGTCCTTGCTGAACTTCCCGGGCGGTGCAGAGAAGAAAAAAGCCGTCATTGAGTTCCGAGTTGGCCGTTCCCGAGTACATCTTCTGATTGGCAACAGCATTGAACAAACATCCGAGGCGCAAGTGGAGATGTCGTCCAGGATTGCCATGTTCACCTTCCGTTCCATCATCTACTTCTTAGGCGCGTTGCCGCTGTTTGCACAAGCCCGTGGATTTAGCATGGAAAGCAGGGCGCTGTCTGCTGAGTTGGTGGGCCCTACAAAACAGAGACACCCAGCCGAGACCCTTCCCAACCCTCACCCTCGTGTGACATTCTTCGCTGAAGGCATGACACAGCTGATCTACGGCCGGGTCCGCCACATATGCAGAGCTATCAAGGATGGGGATTTGGCATCTGGACATAAAATTTGTTCCATAATTTTCCATATCTTGCTGGGAAGTTGGGCCTGGCAGAAGTCTTGCACGCGAAAGCAGACATAGAGAAGCTAAGGTTACTATTGCAAACATGCCCATTCCCAAAAGAATGGTGGACAACTGGCGGGAGCCAGTTTCTTGCTTACTGGCTTCTGCCAGGGACTTACTTCTGTTCCATGCACCAGAATAGTTACGATGTATGTGGCCTTTCCCCCACAATGAGGGCCGTTGATCAGAAATACAGCAGACAAATGAAAAGGCTTTGATCATCATGTTCTTCATCGAGCCTGTGCTGCCCCTTTGCTGTTTGATTCCTGCTTCATGAGTGGTGGGCTCTGCTCGAGCGGTGATGGCTCAAGTGTGGGCCATGCCTTGCATGGCTCAGGTCTTGCTTGCAGCACTACGAAGGTGATTTTGAGGGCTCAGGCCGTGGTTTTCAGCGCATTGCAGTGCCTTGGAGTTCTGGTCGGTGGAAATCAGGTTTTTTTTTGTTTTTTTTACCAAAGAGCAGGTCTCTTCACCGATCTCTGTCCGGAGGGCAAGGCGGGGCTCGGGCCCTTTCTGAGAGTTCTGTCCTTTTTTGCTGCTCTTGCCTATAGCACTCGGAAGTTTGCTCGGAAGGGCGTCCGGGAGGTGCAACTTGGCTTTTTGTAGAGCAGAGAAGATGTAGGAAGCAGAAAGTTCGGTGAAGCCTGGCAGCACCGGATAGGAGGGCTAGAAGGACACAGAATGCCGGGTTCGCAGCCTTTTGTTCCCCAGCTTTCCAGTCCGCTCTCATTACACTCTCAGGTATTCCATCCTCTCTTTGTTCATTGTCGCTTTGTATATGGCCCTGCTGTTGGACCTTGCAGCGCTGTCGATCAAGTTGAACGTTGCTTGCCTGCAGCTGAAGTTCCACGCAGACTCGAAAACAGCATCACTGATCTCTTGAGCCGTGCTACTTCCTGCGGTTTGTAAACTCCTGGTCATTTACACCGTCAGCGAAGCTATCGCCTTTTTCAAGATATGCGGCACTGCCAAGGCATATGTCCTTGTGGCAATCAATGTCTTACCAGAGCTTTTCCTTATGATTACGGCGGTAGCCTTCCTGGTGATCATGTTTGCCACATGTGTGGCAGTTAGCCACACTTCAGGCCGGGGGTCCGCACAGGAGCAAACATTGACACTTTGTATATTGTATGTCTTCGTCTTGCCGAGCGCTATCCCGTCCTGAGTTGACGCCTTCAAAGACATGCCGACTGCTGGTATGCGCTTCTTCCAGATTGCGGCGAAGATGCAAGACAACCGAGGCTCTGATAGACATGCCGAACAAACAGCATATAATGGCTCCGCCGGCAAAGTGACAGGAGCTGCACGTGACCAAGTCTAGTGCACCCAAGTACCCCATGATTTTGTACTTGGCGTCTTGGCACCATGTAAGGCTAAAGCTCACAACGACAGTGCCACTTGCCAGGGATGCCGGAGATCTCCACGGTTCCGCTTCTTATGGTGGCGATCGGCTTGTTCGTGCTTGCAGCACCTACGCTTGCAGAAGAAGCTGACTGTGCTAACTACTGCTATACATGTAGTGGCATGTTTAGGTGGTATTCGGCGCCTTCAACATCTTCGTCGCGCAGCTGACATGCGCACACCAGGAGATCTACGACAGTATGGTGGGCTATTCAATTCTGAGGCAACCTGGTGGAAAGAAGATGACATCTCCATCATTACAGGCAAGCACCTTCATCCTTGAGCCCGCCCTAAACTTAGGCGAATGCAGATCTCCATTGACACGATGCAGACGCTCCGTCGGCCGTCTAGCTGCATCACAAAGCCTACTCGACACAAGACGGGGCGGCACGCAAGTTGATAGCATCATCTTGAAGCTTGTCAGGGCAAGTAGAACGCATCAAGTTCTACGAGCACTGAGAAGTAAGACTGCCGAGGCGCAAGTTCAAGCAGTTTGTGGACAGCCTCGTCATGGACGAGCCTTTGGAGCTCCTCAGAAACGAAAATATTCGCTCACCGATTGCGACCCGGAACTGTTCATGATGGAGTTTGTGCCAGCAGGTTCGGCGAAGGTGATATTGGTCTTCCGGGCGGCGTGCAGATCATGGAGTGCGCATCCCTTCACCCGCAGAACAAAGAGAGCATTATCAGGTGCCACAACTGCATTTGGCAGTTGCTTTTGCATTGCAGCTGAGGCTTCATGCCTAGGTTGACAGCTGAGATGATTCCTTTGCAGTTGTCCGGTTTGTGACTAGTGGCTCTGGCGCCAACCCCTTCAAACATGAGAGATGTTGGAAGTATGGCATCTCCTAGCTCCAGAGTCTGTGCAGGTTCGGCGGTTCCACGGAGTCATCCATGCAGTGGCCCAAAGAAGAAGCCTTGGAGATTGCTTCGGAGGATGCAAGGCCGAAAGTGGCTGAAGATCCTGTTTGTGCATGTCTGCGCGGTGCAAAGAAGAGGCATGTCCGAATGCAGCAGGGCGGTGTACCAAACATGACCTCGAGCGCAGGCTGGATCGCCTGGTCAAGAAGTTTGACAAGTCGCTGCTGCAACTGATAAGCACTACGGAACATGAAGATCAGTTGGCAGGTTTGTTGGCATTGATTGCTCGAAGGGGAAATTTGGCCGGCCTACTGTGGCTGCCTGCCTCGAGCTTGCTCGCGCAATTGTTTTCGGTATTGACAGTCAGCGTGGGTTGCACAAGGGTTTTGCCGATGCCTCGTGGGACTAGCTGAACCACACCACACTCTAACAAGCATGCAAGAACTGATGCCGATGCCTCAATCACAGGCACAATAGGTAGACACATTACCCAGTGAGCCCGACTGCATGCATGGTGGTGGTGAAGCTCGTGGAACTCTCTTTGGGCGTAGGAGTCCTGCAGCTTTTGCGGCAGACTGTTGTGCACCTGCAGCTGAGGAGGATATCCAAGATGATGAAAAAGCGAGGCTTCTCAAGCTACACCTCTGCAGTCACTTCTCGAATGGGGGCTTCGACCACGAAGACATCGACAAAGCTGAGCTCAGCGCCGGATGGCGAACCTACGAGCGGTGCAAGTGGTGCAGCAAGCTACACCAGTGAGGAGCCCAACTCACACAGCGAGTGCTGCCCGCCTGAAGTTGCTCAGACTAGGAGGGAAGTTGGGACAATGCGTATGCGTGCAATGTTTGGAAGAGTTGATGCTCACTTGCCTAGACTTAATTCATGATACATCACGTGATGGCAGCCGGCCAAAAGCCACTTCTATGAGACAACTCCCGCCTCGAGCCCGCCCTGCTGAGGTGAAATACCCGGTCAGTCTAAGTGACGGCGAGCCTTGATCTCGACGTAGTCGCAACGCGTGAGGCGCACCAAGTCGCTTCTGCTGCGAAGAATGAATTTTGAAGACTTTACCTTGCGCTTCAGACACGAAGCGCCAAGATATCGGATTTTTGCCCTACTTCCTCCGCTCCCTGAGAGCACCGTTCCGATGCACAGGCCTCCTGCTAGGAATACACATTTGTGTGCTTGGTGGTTGCCATGTGTAGCCAGGTATTTTACAGGGAGGTGCTACGGCCGCTACAGGCTTAGTTTCATCAGTCGGACCAGCGGAAAGGCTGAACACTTTCCAAGTTTGATCATCCCAGCTGATAGCACGTTTCAGGTGTAAGCAGATCAGTCTCCAACACTGGATAGTCCTGAATTCCGTCAGTCGCCTTTGCTTCGGGCCTTGGAACTCGTTTGAATGGCTGCCTGGCCCATGCCTGGGCATGCCGAGCATTATTCGTTTCAAGGGTAGACCTTGAGATCAGCAGGTCTGAACGCTTTTTTGGGCATCAGCCTGGCTTTGATGTCTCTGTCCTTGCATTTGCCTACATCTCCCTCCCTTCAAAAGCTGCTGGCCAAAGGACCTGAGTCTCTGCAAAGCTGTGAAATGAATGCAGCATGATCGCTGCATTTCATGTTTCTTGTTCCCCGATTTTAAAGAGCTCCTCAAAGGAGCTGTGCTTTCAAATCAGCTGAAGTTTAATATGGCTTCGCCAAACCCGGTCGAGCGAACGCGCTGCTGGTCGCTTGCTAAGCAAGGAGCTCCGCCAGCAATGCGAGCGACAGGACAACCTACCTACTCCGTGTCTGAAGTGCTTTAGCATAGGGAACTCGCCCCATATCGAAGCAGACCTCAGCCTACATGGACCGGAATCAAGCTCACGGCCAACTTGCCAGCAGGCCTTCGGACGTTTTCTCGGTGCTCATCAAGTCAAGGCAGAGCTTCTTGCTTTGGCGCCCATCTGGTCAGACAGGAGCCATAGGGACTCGTCCCAATGTAAACGTCAGCTGCTCAAGGGCTTCGGAGCCAAGATGTGTGGTGGCACAACATGGCACAAACACCACACCAACCGATTCAACCTGGGAAGCCTTGTCGTCAAGCTGTGTAGACAGTGAACTACCGCAGGAAGGACTTGCTCGCTGGCCACTGCCCAAGAAACGGAGTATACTAATTATGCGTAGGTTCGTCCTAGCCAGGCGGGAGGTAAACAACTATGTGTCGCCATTCTTTTTCCCGATACTATGGGATGACCACCGCGTCTTTGTGTCTTCTGCTATCTGCGGTGGTGCTTTTGCAGAGCTCCAACAAACAAATCCCAGACTTTAGATGTCGACTGACTACCTAGGATCAGTGGTCTCTGAGTTGGAGAACGTTTTCGGGCTCATGCTGCGAGCCTTGGATTGTCGCGTAAGGACACCTCTTGACTCATGCCTCAGCATAGTTGTGACATGCGATTGAACTTGAGGATCAGCATGGCTTCGATTTGCACCGCAAACACCGCTGATCCAGTCACAATGCGAACCGGAGCCCAGATGTCAGGCTGTGTATGACAGGATCATGAACTTTCCCGGTTTCACAGCTCTCTTGATATGGACTCCGAGGCCTGCCGGGACACCCCTGAAACAAATTCATTGCTCTTTGATGCTTTCGATGAGATCCGCGCTGGCCGTCAGACCCTCGAATCTATGCTTGACAGCCCATATGGGGTTTGTTATAGTCAGGGTTGAGACGCCGTGATGGAGCATCAAGTATATCATCTGAAGAGCGGCTGGTTTCTGGCCGAAAGGCCGCACGAGCTTCGGCATCTTCCAATGTGGCACGCTCATCCACGAGCTGCGTGCCTGAACATATTCGGATGTTGGCTAGGGCTCTGTGTGGCATGCCCTGATGCCGAGATGTTATTTGCTACTCCAGGCCGGACTATTCCAATGCGGCACACCTGCTGGAGCAGTTGTGTCTTTGAGTTACGCTTGTCAGAACGACAGTCTGTTGGGAGGGAAGATATGTTCTGTGCCAGCTGCACATGGAATTGCACAGGATCTGGTAACCTATACCTCGCCACAGCGCTGCGTACCGCGATCAACTTATACAAACGGTTGCAGAAGGTCGTTGCAGAGTGCTGGAGTCCACAGCGCGTGCAGTGACGTGCAGCCTTTGAAGATTTGACCGTAGGGTTCAGCTGTAGTAAGTCAGAGGCAGTCCTCTACAGTGGTCTCGCGGAAGCAGGGCTTGAGCACGGTTCCGACTCTGATTAACCGGACCAATCCCCAAGTTAGCTCTATAATCATCAGTCCTTTTCCTGACTTGGGTGCAATGGCCATGGACTGCGACGAAGACGACACTCTGTGTCGGGCTTTGAACGTGCTTGCCTCGGGAGCTGCTGCTCTTTCAGGAAGTCGGTGCCGAAGTATCGATTGTGGCTCTGCTTCGTATTCGTCTCTGTTTCATGCTCTTGATGCAAGGACTTGGTAAGATCAGCGATTCGAGGAGCAGACCACAAAGAGGGCCCCGCGAAATTGGCAGTGCCGAGGCTGTTCATCTTTCTGCTTCTTACCCAGTTATATGATACTGTAACTCCTCATTCTCAAACCCTAAACCTTGAGCAGTGGGAGCGTCGAAGCCCTAAATGGCCTGAACCCCGGTCCGAGTGTGAGAGCCAAACCCGCAGCTCTTCAGGACTGGGGCCTTTACATCGGCGGCATTCGAGAGGCCGAGGATCTCGAGTCTCTGCGTGCCCTAGGAATTTGTGCCGTGGTTAATGCAGCGCCAGACGTCGTTCATGCAGCTTGCCTGCAAGAGGGGGTACATGCGTCGGTTGTATTCAGTAGCATCTTCCCTCTCACACTCTGCTGGCTCGTGTGCGGCTGGAGACCAACGATAGCTTGGCCATTGGCATGCCACTTCGATTAATGCTGTTGGCATTCATTATTTTGCCCCGGATAGCGATGTGCCGTGAGGTTAACTATCCAGAGGGCTGGGTAACTTTGACTGTGGACGCAGAGGATGATCCCGCCTATCCTTTGTGCCTGAGCTCAATGCTGCAAGATAGGGCGCAGAGGACGCCGTAGGCTGCATATCGATGTTCCTACATAGCGCATAGCCAGCCGCGCTTTGGAAGCAGGCTTGTATGAGAAGGCGGAATCCCCGCGTACAACTTGGATACAAGGACCCGTGTCAGCGTCCGTGAGCACGTCCCAAGCTGGTCATAGTGAGGTTGGAAACACACTTGGAGCCGGTTTCGGAGCTCCCTGGCCGAAAATGTGTTTTGCAGCCAAGGGGTCTGTAAAGAGGCACTGAGGTGAGGATGTGCAGTCATGTGCAAGCCCGGTGCCATCCTGACCCCTGAGGTTCCTGAACGAACAGAGGGCCCAAAGATGCTTGGCTGGGCTGCAGCTTTCGCCCTGCAATGTGGCAGAAAACCATGCTTCAGAAAACACGTTTCTCAGCCGCCAAGGAAGGCCTGTGCTTTTGCATTGCTTTGCTGGGATGAACCGCAGTGCAGCTCTTTGTGCCGCCTATCTCTTAGCCCGGGAGTCTCAGACTGAATGGCTCACGATGCACACAGAATGAATGGAATGGCGTCAGGTTCAGCGTCATGCTTCCGTCAGGCTCTGTTTTTGCAAGCTGGACAGCCGTGACCTCGCATGGACCGGCGGCTGTTTCAGGTCAAGACTTAGCTCGTGCCGAGTCCCGGCCGCTGAAACTTGCGGGCGGGCCAGGTTGCACGACATGGCGGTGGCGTCGTCCGCCTCCAGAGGAGGCCTGCCGAAGCAGACTAGTGGTTCGGCGGTCTCCAAAAGCAAGGTGTCCACATCGACAAAGATTGAAGCCACTGCGTCCAGAAATAGGAATACAAGTGGCGGCGATAGCGGTGTAACAGGAGGAGGGCGCATGCTGATTTACTGTGATGGGAAGAACGTCACACCGAAGAGCTTGGTGCCGTCGCACTACCAAAAGCTTGCTGGGGGTGATCAGACAAACCTTGACTCCATCGGAATCTTGGGAACTTCCCCCTCAGCATTGCCAACTCATGAGGAGGAGAAGGTGGTCCCGGAAAAGCCTCCACCAACGGCGGCAGAGATAAAGGCAAAAGCGCCAAAGCAAGCCACGCTCTCCAGGGACGAGCTCGAGCGTCCGATCGACATCGTGCTCAGTGAGACACAGACTGAGACGCTTTTGACCTTTCCATCTCTTTGCGTATCTCTTGACAATCCTCAGTCTGGGTCGGTTTCTTCTCGCAATAAGGCCTACGAGGAGCTTTGTGCTTCGAAGGCAGACAGTGATCAGTACAAGGAGCAGCATTGTCAGACCATGAACCAGCCTCACAAGAGCAAGGAGGTCTTTGCAGCCGCTCCGAACACTGAGCATGCCGAGGTAAATGTCACAGGCTGGGATATTTATGATGCCTTCGCTACTGCTCCGGTGCCGAAGCACGAGCAAATTCAACAGGCATGTGAGAAGGAGTCGCAAGCTGCGGTTAGTGTGGCAGTGAAGAAGCCAGGCTGCTTGTTCACGATGCAAGAGCCCTACCCAGTGTCCGAGCTGCCAAAGGAGGTGAAGCAGAAAACCGGAGGCGACGGAGGCAGGCGGGGTGTACGTGGCGCAGCCGGTGCTTCGGGGACTCTTCGAGCCGGAATCTCGGCTGGCCCATCTACTCTTGCTGCAGGAGCCACCGCCGAGACTAGTGGGTACCCGGCAGCGCAGACTGAGGCCATCCCAGTCGACACACTGCTGCCTGGACAGGATGAGGATGCTGTCCTGAGGGATTCACCCAAGGCAAGCGACAAAATCCCATGGCAGGTTGGCGCAGAAAATCCTATCCCAGACGAGATGGCAAAATCATTGCGCGTGATGGAGCGCATTGTTTCACAAAATGTGTTCCACCGGCAGCACATGATCTACAGGAACTACCCCACTCTGGATGAGCTTGCCAGGCTCGACGAAATCCGAATGGAAGAGGCAATGGGTACGGCAGGAACGTCTGGATTCGGTGATGTTTCAGTGGCGGAAGATGCGCCAGTAGCTGCCGAACCTGCCCCCGTTGGGGCTGGCCTCGAAGAGCCAGAGGGTGGTGAGGAAGCAGGAGATGAGATTGCGGAGGATGCGCTGCCTGAGGAAAAGGATGCTGACAAGCCAGCTTTGCAAGATCTGTTCTGCTTCGATGCACCGCAGCTGACCCAGGGTATGACAGTGACTTGTGCAGAGTGGAACAGCAACAACAAAGACTTGCTGGCCGTTTCCTACGGTGACACCGCTCCAGTTCCTATCAATCCTGGTGGCTTGGTGCTCTTTTGGTCTTTGAAGAATCCAACCTACCCCGAGCGAGTGATCCGGACTCGGCATGGCGTCACAGCCCTGCATTTCTCGTCCATTCATCCCAACATGGTGGCAGCAGGCACTCACGATGGCTCTGTCATGATTTGGGACTTGCGGAGGCCATCGGATACCCCTGTGCTTCGAAGTGGGTCTTCCGTGTCGTCCCACAATGACCAGAAGCACACTGACATTGTTTGGGAGACTCGGTGGGTGGACCAAGGTCCAGACAAGCAGCCTCCTGAGTTGCTGGTGTCTGTCAGCAGCGATGGAAATGTTCTCCAGTGGTCTTTGAAGAAGGGCCTGGAGCAGATGTTGCTCATGCCGCTGAAGCGCATTGCCAACCCGTACCTGGGCGCAAACTGCGTGTACAAGCACAAGGAGGGCATCGTCTTTAGGAAGAGCAGCGGCTTCTGCATAGACTTCCCTCGACATGATCCCTCGACGTATCTCGTTGGCACGGAGGATGGCCTGGTGCACCGTTGCTCAACCTCCTACAACGAGCAGTACCTGGACACATACTACGGCCACTCTGGCCCCGTGTACAGAGTGAGATGCAACCCCTTCATGTCTCATGCGTTCCTGACATGCTCAGCAGATTGGACCATGAAGCTTTGGACAACGAAGCCCCCTCCGGGACATCCTCCAGAGACGCCGCTCTTGACTTTCCAGTCTACAGACCTTTATGCCTCTGTGAACGATGTCATATGGGCTCCACAGAACTCCACATCGTTCGCAGCGGCCATGGACGATGGACGGATTGAGCTTTGGGATTTGGCTGAAAAACCGCTGGATCCCATTGTCGTCCATTATCCTCAAGAGGACAAGCCCCAAAGGCGGCGAACATGCGTTCGCTTTTCCCCCAACTCACCCGTGCTTGTGGCTGGCGATGACCAGGGCAGCGTGGATGTAATGCGCATGTACAACACCAACCAGGCTTATTACTCAGACCAGGAGCAGCAGGATCGCTTGAGTGCGGTGATGGTAAAGAAGCGGTAGGTCTGCAAGTGGTGCATTCTTGGGAGTCTGCTACGTTTAGACATGACATCGTTTCCAGCATACCGAACATCGCAGATACTCATAGAAGACAGCGGATTCCTGCAGGTGACCTTTTGTTTCACCCGCACTGAATCAATGCGCATGTGGTTGAAAGTGCAAAAGGCATTCTCGTCATTGTTGTATGTTGGAGAGGTTCAACGGAGAAACACGAAGTTTGTTTCAGCTTTGCCACTCAGGATCGAATTGACTTATTCACAGTCGTTAGACTGATAAGTGAGCGCCGTGGCTGGATCCTCAGCAACGATGGCTTTGTGAGACAGCTGGTGCCCCCTGCCTTACTTTCGGCATGTCGCGGTTTTCCGGTTCTCAATCGCGCGGAAAGCTGCTGGGTAAGCTTGTAGACATGCTGTATATCCAAGGCACCTAGCAAGGGCTGAGGAGCTATTGAAGCCCGCTGAGCGCTTGCAGTTGGATGTGGTGCACGAAGAATCCGATTCAAAGCCATCGAAATCGAGCTCGAGCTGTGCCTGGATTGCACTTAAAGTGTACATCCCTGCGAGAGTACAAAGAAATCAGGGCACGCTGCTGTAAGAGAAATGCGAGTTGCCCAGGGGGCCGGGATTTTGGAGGTGGACATCTGGCACAGCACAGAGCTACACGTATGTTTTGTGTGCAGGAGCATTCGTGATTGAATTGGCGCTACATGAAAGCACGGAGGGGTTCCGGGATGCGTATGTGTTGTTGTTTACACATGTGTTTCCATGCATTGTTCCGCTCTGAGACTCCGTTCGCATAAACACCCAGACTCAGTATTACTGTACTTGGAAATGTGCCGTTCTGCTTTCTGCAAATTCCCATGCATTGCACCACCCGACCAAAAGCAGCTCCACACATCACGACATTGACTTGCGTTGCAGTTCCTTGCAGATGCTTGTGTTGCAGTAGGTTGAACTGCATCACACCGGCATGGCGCGCGAGCTACAATGCATTTCGTTGCATGTCATTTCTACCCAGTGCCGTGCTACAACACATGACGAACTACTGTAGTGCCGCATGTGGTGTCAAATTGCTTTTCCTTGCAGCGCCAACAGGTGACATTGACACATTTTGCTTTCGCGTCTTCTTACTCGTTGTTGCCCCTGCGTGGCTTCTCCGCTCCGAGACCACCTCTTGTGTTGTGCAGGTGCAAACAGGAGGGCCGCATCCGAGCACTGTCATGCAATTTGGCTGTGAAGTTGGGCAGGGGTTCAAGACCATGCCAACGCGCTGCATCGCTGCAGTTTCCTGTTTGTTGCAAGGTCTGACATTCGGAAGTTTGAGGATTGCAAGTTGTATAGGTTGTGTTGCCGACTTCTTTGTTGCGTCCTGCTGTGTTATGGTGCTCAAGTTGAGACCTCATGCATAGACATGCGGTAGTAACTCAGTCACTCAGTAGTGGTGATTTTGCCTCCTGAAGGCATCGAAACTGGGCCGCTCTTTGTCGAGGATGTCATCATTCTCATCAGGCCAGGTTATGACCACATGAGGACGCTATGCCTGCAGTGCCTTGGATTGCAGATGCAGCGGGAGACGCGCCAACGTCTTTGGAGCGAACGACGGCGCATGTGGGGCACCTGGACACGGTATACACGGTATTTCTGGCTCGCTAGAAACCCACGTGCCCTTCCACTTGCTGTGTCCGTCCCAGGACGGTCGGCTTGTACGCAAACTGTCCAAATCCTCCAGCGCGCTTTCAGGTCGGGCGTGGGTAAGGGCTAAAGCAGACAGCGAATCAAGCCTCCCACACTTCCGACTTGCACAATTCTTCAACCAGTCTCCGCCAGACATCTCTACAGATGGCGCGGGCGTGAAGGTTGCCCGAACTTCATCTTACCAGCCGCTGCAAGCCCGCACTATCTCAGCCACTTTGCCTTAAGAAAGATGTCTCGCCGAATTCCGAAGCGGTGTGCATCACTTTGAATCAAACAATATAGAGCGGCAGTGTCGTCCACAAAGCCGTTCTGGCTTCGAACGGTTTGTTGAGGACAGAGAGGTGGGGTATGCATCCCGGCTGCCGCGGCAAGATTCCGTTGGCCCAGTCTTTCGGCGAAAGTACTTCCTTTTGCCTTTCAGTCAAGCTGAACCATGTACGTCCCGGGGCGAGTAGGAGCCAGACGCGCATGTGTCCCTCGCAGGAGGTGAAAAAGATTCGTCCAATCCAAGACACGCGGGAGGGACGAGCAGGATTGCGAGATGGCACGTACCTTTACGTGGTTATGCTCGGAGACGAGGATAACATCCGCTTGAATCTTGCCCAATTATGCTTATTTCAATCGCAGTCGAGAGTGTGGCATTCGTTTCGGGCGCTTTGCTTTTTTGCTGCTTGACGTCTTCTGAACAAGTCGGGTGCCAAACTCAGCGAACTTGCGAATTCGCCTTCGAGTACAGCTGGTAGTTACCTAATGTCGAGCGACCAGTCCCATCGCTTGTAATATCTGCAGATTAGGATACACGAAGACCACTTGGTTCACGAGGGCGTCCTGGCCGGTCATACGTCGCTGGTGCAAAGAGCCCTGCTGCAAGATTCTGCGAGTGTTGAAGTTGGGTTCCTACCGGGGCTCGTGAATTTAGCTACAACGGTAGCGAGATGATGTGTAAAATGTTGAAAGCTTGCCCTGGAGCCGTGGGGACGAGAAGAAGCACATGACATGCGACATGGCACTTTCTCGTTCCTGATTTCTCAGGAAATGAATTCACCCGTGGTTGGGCCAAACAGTGGGACACCAACGACCCACAGTTCCGCCACACCGTGTTGTATGCCGGTGAGCTGGAGTACCAGGAGGGAGATCCTGGGACCCGAACAAGATGTTGTTTGCGAGCTCTTCCGGGTGTAGGTACGGAGAGCTGTCCAGAGATGCCCTGCGTTGCTCGATGCATTCTCAGGAAGGGGTCGTGATGTGGAATAACCACTCGGGCCACTATACCCCATCGGCGGCAGACCATGTTCGCGTGCACCTTGATCCGGCCACTTTCGTGGCTGCTCGGATTATCTTGGGTTCACATATTAGGTTGAAGTACTGCAGGCATGGTAGGGGTGGCACGGGATGGCAGGGGGTGGTAGGTGGCGAGGTGGTAGGGGTGGTAGCTGTAAAAGAATACCGTGCTGTGACAGCCCTGCCCTGCCCCTGCCCTGTGTTGCCCTGCTCGATCCTGCTTGCCCTGCTGCCTGCCCAGCCCCGGATATATCAACCAAGGCATTCGATGATTAGTGGCCAGTTCGCCATCGATCTCGCCTGTGCGGCGAAAAAGTCTTGCGTGTCACGCTGTCGCCGTACCGTACTTCTCACGCTGCGATTTGGAATGTTCTCAGACCGGAGCTCTGGAGCAAAGCGAGGTTGGATGTCATGCTTCGGGCAGCTTGTGCATGCCGAGCCGCCGCGAATCAGGAGGTCGGAGTTTTATGATTGTCTCCGGATCAGCATTCGTCCTGGGAAGGGGATGTTCTGACACGAAGTTTTGCGGGAGCCACCGGTTTCTCGGGAATACCGGGCGGAACATTTTGCAAAAAATGTGGGTCCCAGACATATGAGTCGATTCCTGGACTGCAGTTGGATTTCATCTTGTTTTAGACCGTGTGCGACGATAGGAGAAATGACGAGAAGTTTCACGACGCAGCCTGGTTTTTGACGATGGTCTTGATTGCGGCTTCAGCCCGTTCGAGTTCCAAAACTTCAAAACACCGTACAGAGTAGGTGCATCTGATTCCCCCGAAGCATAATTGACCAAGTCTGGAATGGGCTTCTCCTGCTTTAGGCCTCTGCAGTGTGTAAGACGAGACGGTCTGCGAAAATCCATTTGGATCCAGCATCTACAAGGAAGCCTTTTCAGCAAGATGGCCGTTTTCAAGGTCTCGAGAATATACATAGCAATTACGATTCTATGCCAGCAAACCGCTGCAACTTTCATAAGAAAGACTGGACAAATTTATGGAGAGAGGAGAACGCCCAAAAAGGACCCCAACTTGCGAATTCCTATTTCGCAAATGCAGCATCTCACTGCATCAGTTGCTGAATTCGCCAAAGTCGGAGTACGCAAGGTGATGCCCTTTTCGCGTTCTCCTGGGCTTTGCTGCATGGTTACAATTCATAAACCTGATGCAATTCACACCTTCGGCTTGGTGTGATACAAGTTGTTGAACTCATGAATTCTCTTAGTGAGTTCCTGAAGTTACGCGGTGGACTGGAGCAGACGGTGAATGAGTCTCTCTCGCTCTGCAATCTGTTCAGTCATTTTACCTGGGCTTATGGAGCCAATGAATGAACACTCTTGCTTGGTTTGGTGCTTATGTTCCGTGTGTTCTCCTCATTCTGCGAGTTGCGAGAGCTACCCCGCCGGAAGTGGCCAGAAACAAGCACTGAGATACAAAGATACAGATGTCCAAAGTTGTTCACAGTCCCCTCCGAGAATGCACCATGCCGCGAGTCCGGCATCTCATGCTGAAGACCTTTATGACTCATGACTTTATGCGTGAAGGTTCTTGCCGTCCGCAAGCTTCTGGATGAGGCACGACCTTTGCGGGTCTCTGCGATCTTGTTTGTAATGGTAGTCGCCTTGCTGCAAAAGGAAGTGTGTCTGACACCTCAACGCGTCAGCAGGGCGGAATTCGTTGTTGTGCAATAACGCGAAGGCCGTAAACTTGATGGCCTTGGCAACGGATTGCTTTGTCCAGGCCTCGGAGCTCTGAGCGGAAAGCAGTTCCGAAACTCGTTGTCATTTCCGTTATCAGATGTATGGCTATTTCTACAATTAAAACGACTATTACTATTAGTACTAGTGGCATTGCTAGTACTCCTAGTACTATAAACTAATTACTGACCGTTTCATTCTAAAACTGGTCGCCCCAGACCTTCCCGAGCCTTCGCTCGCCGTCGCATTTCGTGTGTTGAAAGCAGCGCAGATCGGGTTGGGTCGTTTGGGCTTTGAGGGCTGAGGGCTTCCTGGAGACATTCCTAGGATCACACTCCTTGGACTTCGCGGACAGGTTCGGCGCCCAGTTGTGGGTTTGACGAGTGCGAACTTGTCAAGTTGAGCCAGCCTCGCATACCGTGCACTTGTTGCTCAACGTGCAGAGAAGTGGCATCTCTGAAGTAGGTTCCTTGCATGAAGGACAAAGTGAAGACGAAGACGGCAACCACCTGCCAACATCCCTTGTGGCAAACGAGGCCATTCTGTGATCATTCAGCCGAGAAATTTTGCATGATGGTGCTAGGTGTAGGATGCAGTCTTCAGTTCTACTTGAGCTTGCAACACTCAGCATGCAGGGTGTCACAGAATGGGCCTGCTAGGCAGGAAATGCAGGGAGAATTCTGAGCATGTTGCGTCCGGAGGTTTTCTACAACTGGGCCCGGCGTCCGTCAGAAGAGGACGACATGTACTGAGCTCAGATAAAGATGCTCATGCGTGCTCGAAAGTCCGAAAATAGCCCGCAAACGGCCGTGGCTCACGCGGACTCCGAGCAGCAACATATGCGATGCGAGGCCTTGGAAGTGGGAAATTCTTCCCACGCCGGTTCCCTGGGGAGGTGGCCAGCCGTACGACAGATGCCTTTGTTGAGCATGTTATTCCGCACTGGTAGAAAAAGGAGGGGTAATCGTTATCAAGCTCGCGACAGCTTTGAACGGCAGTGTTGAGTATAAGCAGTCTTTCATGACTTCGTTTCTTTTCTGATCTGATGGTTGACCTTCCCGCGTGTCTCATTCACGGCGTTCTTGAACTATAAGCAGTCTGTTATGACGTCGTATATTTCGTTTCACCGTGTCTGGTCTGATGGTTGACGTTCCCATGCGTCTCCTTTACGATCTTGTTGCGTCTTCTTTTCACCCTTGGTTTCCGTCTGACGTCCGGCCATATTTTCTGTGGATGCTGCTAATGGGCAAGTCTGACTATTGCAGGGTGCGATAGTTTGTTAGGATTTGTTTGGCAGCATAATTCTTTGTTCTCGCCGCATGTTGCAGCTGGGAAGGCTTTGATCGTTCCGTTTGCCAGTCGGAGTTGGGCACAGTATGTGTGACGATCTCAGTCGGCCGTGCAGTGGTTCCAACTGTGGATGTGTGGCCGCACATGTTGAAACATAGCCTCCGACTATGCACTAGCACTGGAAAGGTGCACCTTGAGAGTGGGAAGATGAATGCTCTTGGAGGCAAGAAGTTCGCAACCCATGGTTACAAGTTGCGTGCCTTGTGATGTCTCATCTCTGGATCATGGAGGAAGAGGCCTGGCATATGGCACGCCGGCCTACTTACTGCAGTGTATCGACCCCGGAACGCTTCGTGTGTGTGTGTGTGAGTGTAGATGTTAAGATGTCTACGTTACCAATAAGTGCATACGCACATACGCACACACACACACATATACATATAGAAGTACATAAATCTGTATACACATATGTATGTATATGTATATGTGTATGTATATGTATATGTACATGCATATGTATATGTATATGCATCTGTATATGTATATGTTTATGTATGTGTAGTATGTGTATATGTATATGTAGATGTACATATTTTTATGATTGTATGTAGGTACATATGCATACAAAACACACACATAAACACAGCATCCATACATATATGTATTCTGGTTGCAACGGCAGAGAGAGAGAGAGAGAGAGAGAGCTGTCTATATGTGATGTACGATCGTCAACGTCCCTTATCGTATACTTTACGGCCTTAGCCTTTTGACGATCTACATTCTTTTCTCACACCCCTGCGCCCAATAAAACACTGGGTGGGCTTGGCGCCCGGGGGCACTGACCTGCCCCTATGCCCCGGAGAGAGAGAGAGAGAGAGAGAGACAGAGAGAGCTGTGTAGGTAAAAAGATATCGATCCCCACAAGGCCCTTAAACAGGGGCGCGCCATCCGGCGCGGGGAGCCTAACCTGCTCCCTGTACCCCGGAGAAGAAGAAGAAGAGCTGTGTAGGGGGAAACCCCTGCACCACAGCCCTGTGGAAAGAAAGAGCTGTCTATATGTCTCTGCTACCTCCTCCCCTCACATACCTACCTATTTGGTGTGTTTGTACCAGCAGCCTGTGTCTACAGATGTCTGCAGTACTTCATGTGCAGAGGCGCTAGCATTTCGCACAATGTCCGTGTCTGACGCATTCCCTGCAGTTTCACAGTCAAACAGTATTGGCGATACATCTGTTATTGCTTCTGCTAGAACTCATGCCCACATGATATCAGGTTAGTATCTGTTGTTGGATGGTTCATGTTGTTCTGCTTTCCTGCTCAGGCCACACAGCATTCAGTATTCAGACATTAATCCCTTCCCCCATTTATTAAATGCCCCCCAAATTATAAAAATAAATCCACACGGAATTAGCCCCGCCCTTTAAGACCCATTTTGAATTAGGGCGGGGGGTTAGGGTTAAAGGTTCAGCAGCAAGCAGCAGCAGTAGCAGCAGTAGCAGCAGCACAGTAATAGAGCAGCAGCAATTGCAGACGCAGGACAGCAGCAGCAGTGCAGCCGTAGTGCAGGTTCCAGCACCCGAAACGAGGCACTTCAGTACTAATGTTGTACTACAATCCAGCACAATCCAGCGACA